GGGGGCCGTACTTTGAGAACCCCTGGTCAGTGTTCCTCAACCTTGGCAACTTTAAGATGTCTGGACTTCAACTCCCATGCTGGCTGGGGGAATTCCACACATCCTAGAGTTGCCAAGGTTGAGGAACACTGAACTAGAGAGATGAGAACGAATATAGAAAGAAGAAATACAGGAATTAATAACTGATCCAACATGAGGCCACTAAAAGTCATGAAAGAAATGGGATGTTTTCAATCCTTCAGAATATCCACCCTACCAGCTACCAGACATCTTCCTTCTAGGAAAGAGGGATGTATAAGCCAGTCGTTTTGGAGAAGTTCTTCACATTCCCAAGAACAGAGGGAGTAAGAAGGCAAACTGTCCCCCTAATGCTCACTTATCTGAGCTGGCATATATGGGTCCTGCTCCTTCTGAGTACAGATTTGATCACAAAGGGAAGGAGTTTCCCATCAAGAGTCTCATAGAGTGGGCCAAGTATCAGATGTGGGTATCAAAGTTTTCCAGATGCAGAATGGAGTTAGACAAGGGTCATAGGACAAGAAATATTCAGACTTACATAATAAAGCATCAACTTTATGTTCATGATTTAGGAATCTAAGAAATATAAATGTTAAAATGAAAACAAAGCTAAAATGAAAAGAAATCTACCTCACTTTGGACTATGTAAGCTCTGGGGAATTCTTTTGACCAATTTGGATCTTGCTAGAGTGGTAGATTCAGTCCATCTGCTATCTTGTGTGGTTTATAGGTAGTCCTCGTTTAGCAGCCACAATTGGGACTGGCAATTTGGTCATTAAGTGAAGCAGTTGCTAAGTGAAACTGCAATTGTGCTTATGATCGTACTTCAGCTTTCCTTTGCTTTACAGACCTGCGAAAGTTGTAAATGTGAGGAGTGGTCACAAAGTTACTTTTTCATCACTGTTGTAACTGTGAATGGTCACCAATAATAGACTACCTCTATTGGTTCACTGATGCCACTTGATTCTGATACAAGAGTAAGGCATTGGCAACTTGACTGACGTTTAGTGGGGTCAGCCATTGTTTTTCTTTGGTCTTGAGGCAAATGGGAATGAGGAATAGGCAGATCAAGCTATCAAGTGTCTCAGAGCAAATCTCAGTAAATGCTCTCTGGAACACTAACTCTTCTGGGTTACACAGCGAGAGTCTCACAGACACAAGTTGGTTTGATTAATTTATTGCCAAGAAGAAGGTACAGACAGGAGATCTGTCTACAGAAGACAAAAGCTTATATATCTATGGTCTGGGGTTTGTAGTCTAGGCATAACTTTTTTCCTGGTCAGGTGTCACATTTCCTTAGGGTTAATCTGTCTGGATCTTCATGCCAATGATGGGTGTTACTGGAGCATGTGGTCAATTGGGGCAAAATCAAACCTGACTGTTCTTTCTTTCTGACTCTGATGCTTTCTTCTCATTCTTCCAAACAACAGACTGTTAGGAAGGGGGCAGGTTGGTACATTTCACAGGAGTAACCTGCTTATTTGAGGAGAAATTAGCCAAAGAGCAACATTAAATCTGGCCAAGAGCTGCATTCAGTGCTAGTGTTACAGGCTGCCCACCCTTGACCTTCCTCAAATATTTCAATTAATGCTACAACTTGAAATCCTTTTAGATTACTTGAGCAGTTAAAAAATAAAAATTTAAAATGAATGCATATGCTGCTTCTCGCATTTCAGGCTTTGCTGCTACGGATTCTACAAAACAAAGTGACTGTAGCAGTTGAACTCCCCATAGATTACACTGCTGTTATATTTCCCCAAATCAAATTACACTCCTTTGTAATTGATTTATGTTATGATTCTGAAATGCTTTGAAGATAATTTTCCAGGAGAGAGTAGAAATATGGAACCATTTTTTTAAAAAAAGGCTTCCATCTAAACTTTGTATAACCTGCTTTCACTGTTGCTCATAGAATTTAAACATACATGTAATAGTGTAGCTGAAAGAACCCAAGCAAGCATGTATCTGGGATTCTTTTGTTTGAAGGCAAGGACTCAGATTGTAAAAATATTCAGGGTTTAAAACTTGAAATATCTCAAGCTAAAAACACTCTCAATTCCTGGGAAGGTTAAATATATGCTTCAATGTGTCTGGGATACTTAAAGGATAGAACTTAAGTGGAACTTAAAAGACCTTAATGTTGGTTGCATTCAGCCCATATTTCTTTGGGTACCATTTCAACAACATTTGTTTATTTATTAGTCATATTCATATCTGCATGCTTCTGGTACAAACCAGCAGCTCAT